ATAATTAACGAAAATACTGCATTATAAAATACTAAGTTATAGGGATATGTTTTCCCGACGCGACGATAATTAAGAATTGCTTCTGATGTTCCTCGGAGGAGCTGAATAGGGAGAATATTGTGAAGAGGAGAAATAATCTTAAAAGAACTCTCATGTGTCAAACCTGGCACAGGTGCTGGATTTACAATGTTGTAATAATTTCGATAAATATTTTATTGCGTTCGAATGAGAATGCAAAGAGTACACGTCATATGAGTTGTATATATGCCTTGAGGAGGGAGCATGGGTACTGAAAGCGACGGAGTAAAATGATGAAAGTAAAGTAACAGGAAACATCCATTCAGTAATCCAAGGAGAGACATAGTGATTTCTTTGAATTGGGAGAAATCCCTGTATTAAATTTAAGCCTAGGAATATATATATGTATGGATACCTATTCTGATGCAAGGTAAATGTAAAGTATATGTTCTCCGATGTCAGGCTTCAGAAAAGTAGCTTATTCCAGAAAAGGAGGATGTAGCCATATGTATCTTTTTTTTTCGCTTTCCTATATCTCTATGTGTTGGGAAAATGAGTCCTGTCTCAATTGAGATAACGACTGTTTCAGGAAGAATGATAATTCATTTGAGGTATTGCTTTTTACTGCAAGTCTTAACAATTGTGCCGTCACTTATTTAAATTTAGTTTTTCTCTCTCTACTTCTGTTATTCCGCATAAGAATGTTACGTCATGTGGATAAATAGGGGTACTTACGAGATGGAATTTGAATAAAGCGTATTTTAAATGCAAAATGCCGAAATAAGAACTCCCCCTATCTCTGCAGCTTAACCAAGCAATTTTCGTAATTTTATCCTTTCCGTTCTCCTCCTTTTCTTTCTCTGTTTGTGCTTTACTGAATGAGAAAGGAGCTGGAAGTTAAAATCCTTATCTTTTTTCTTTATACTAAGAGTTTGTATGTAAATCATAATAATAGAAAGAACAGAAATAGGAATTAGCTTATATTAGATTTTGACTGTTTGTTCATTCATTATTTAAGGATTTATTGAAGTATCGTTAATCGTGTTAAAGATTTACTTTTGCGATATCCGTGAGACTTCAGCTCTATATGATATATGACATGATCTTGGTATCGTCTAAAGGAACCTTTCTGAGAATTATACTATATTATAATAAGAAAAAAAATAGTAATAGCTAATAAGCCACCTTAAGAAGGAGAGATAAATACCTATATATATATATGCTTCATCAGCTTCCGTTCGTACGGTTAGGTTGAGGCAGTATTATTTATATAGCACGAGAAGATATATTTCTTTTATTCCATGTAAACAGTGTTATCTTCCAAAGTAAAGGCGACAATTTCCAAAAGCTTCGTGTATTTTTTCATATTTGTACCTATAAAACCCCAGAGGACTATGGTCTATTGGGGCCAACAGGCCTACCCCTCACGCATTCTTCCTTTGACGGAGAAATATAAAACATCCATTGGAGAAGAAAATTTAATGCTACCTGAGGAGAATGAGGCGAGTACAAATAAGGGGAAGAAATTTTTCCCTTGCAGAACCTTAAGTACTATTTTGGTTGGTTGTGTCTATATGTTGTTAAGGGTAAGTTCCAAGAAGCAATGCCCCGGGATCTACGGCAAGAGGCAGATAGAGAACTGTACCTTACGTATGATCCTTGGAATAAGACCAAGGCCGTCCCTGTATAAAGATCTATCTATATATTATATGCTTTATCATGATAAAAAGTCGAATGCCATTGCAATTTGCGGAAGAAGGCATCTGACATATATGAGCTCCTGAGGGATCTTGAGGGATATATAAAGGGACCAGTGCAGCCTATGATAGTTAGAGTTAATTGCCTGTATATTAGTATTCTCCTGAGTTTTTTTTTCATTTCGTTTTAATTTTGCATATAATTCCTTTAAAAATCATAACATCAGGAAAAGGATCCTATAGGGCGCAGCCCTGTTTCTGCAAACTTTCTATTGGATAACTTTCTGACTGAAAAACCAAACGGACGAGTAGAACAAACCTCCTCTAGATTTCAGTGTAAGAATAAGAAAATGCTGCACAGTCCGTTAAATCAGGTACGACAAGGAAGAACGAGTAACTTGCCGGTTGAGCCTATGAAGGGAGGGGGGGGTTACGTGAGAAGAAGTATGATGAAAAAGGAGATATATAGCAATATAATGAAGGAATTATATGATTCCATGATTTATAATGATATCACTGACGACGAAAACATAGTCACGAAACCACGGCCGAGAATTTTAAGCGAGACAAATTCCCCCAATGCTAAGACTCCGGACGGGGGAAACTCGAAGGGGGGAAGGGCAGGGATCTGGAGAAAAGTGAAGGATCTTACAATCAGGCGAAGAAGTGTGATAAGTCTTCCCCCCGAGTCTTCCGGAAGTAATGAACAGCTGCGTAATCGTAGAACAAAGGAGAGACCACAAATATTATATGCCCTCTTTGAAGAGAACAGGAGAAGGGAAGCTGAAGAGCAACAGGCTTCCTGGTACAGCTCTACGTGTTCTGACAACACAGTCCCCAATGACGAGATAATTAAGCAAATAACATCCCTCCCGGCTCTACCTGAGAAATGGCAGTTATGCTTAATTTATTGGAGGTTCTACTTGAATCAGGCGGAAATATATATTGGAACGACAAAGTATCTGATAAGAGAGTTCTATGAAGTCGAAAGAAGAAGACGTGAGACGAATCACGGGATGTATGATGGGACGTGGGAGGAATATGTTGACGTAATGGAGAGGAACTTTATAAACCAGACAAAGCATGTCACTGATATCTTCTCTAAATTATTGGACAGCGCGCATTTGAGTAGTGATCGAATGAGGGATAAGTTACAGGAGCTTAGAAGAAGCTGGATGGACATCACTCTGAGAACAAAAGACGACTGTATATGTGTAAATGAAGCGTCGTGTAACAGGGGCCAAAGACTGACCCAGAGGAGGCGCCGATAGGACCTCTTAAGGAAGAAGCAAAAATTACGGAGATTTCAGGAGTTTTAAGTCTACACTTAGAGGTGTAGGGTTAGGAGAGGCCCTATACTAATATGGACTCAGTTCCAAAAAACATTAGTAGAATCGTCTGCACGGATGAGTAGGGTGTTATGTGTGAACCTGGGTGCAGTATTGAGTTATGTCCCATATAATCTTAGACTATTTCCATATGTTAGTGATCAGGAAAAGAATGAGTTATGTCTACAGGTGAGTCCCGATGATGTGTAGCTTATATTAAGATCTGTATCTTCTTCCGTTTTCTTAGTCTATTTCAGCGTTATTTATTAGAGAAGGATGCAGTGTATGGTTGTTAGAAGAATGAGATTGACCCAAGTGAGATAGTTGATGGAGACATTTTTTTCCCATAATTATATGTGAAAAAGCGTCTTTGTCAGGAAAGGATTGATTCATGAGTGAGTATATCGAATGGACCTCCTTTGACGTCGTCTGTGTTGGGATCTCCATTCCTTCTAAGGAGTGGTAGGAACAGAGTGACCCCAAGAAAACCAACAGATGTCCGATTTCGGACTTAGAGGAGTTGTCATTTTATCAACTAGGATTGATCTGTCGAAGCGGAGAATAGGGGAACCACCCCCAGAAGTGGTGTCTTTGCTTTTGTAGGGTCAGGAAAGTACCCCCAATTTGGGTGTTGTCTGATAAGTAGGTTATAAGAGTACCCCCTTAGAAGGGGTGAAATGGAAGAATCATTTCATCAATTGTCAGATTTGTTCTATGTTTCGATCTACATTTATTAGTGCCGTCATGGAGGTGCATTATCCATGAGGAGTTGTTTGTATCAAAATTAAAGTGACGCAAATATCCAACCCCCCAACAACTATGAATAATAAGGGGGACTGGACTGGCAACCAAGGATTAAACACCCAGGAAGAGTTGTATTTTGTCAAAAATTAGGATGAACCGCAGATTTAGGTTGACCCTTGGAGTGGTTGGATTGGAATAAGAGGTGTGTGTATTGAACAGCAACCTATAACATCAACCTATATAAGAAACGAATAAACAGTAGACAGATTATTAGGCCTAAGAAGAGGGTGCTGTCAATAAGGATTGGACCGCTGAATTAGGATAGAATAACCCTATATAGGATGTTAGGAAGAGTCATTTTGGACTCCCCCTGTCTATAGTGGTGTGATTAAGCAAAAATTAGGAAGTTGTCTGACAATC